TAGTGACTTGACCTTTTTGCTTACATAGTGATTGATATTTGTTACGCATGGAAACACATGATCTGAGAGTCTGCTGTTTGCTTGCCATGCCAGGTTCTGAAATTATTTCCATCTTCTCGAGGCTTGGATGTCACTTGGTCATCTGTTGTCAAAATTGGGCAGTCTTTATACCGCGAGGGTCCCGGAAAAGATCCGTTTAGACCTGATCAAAAGACTCCTGTTAACAACTTCTTCCTTGCCGGGTCATACACAAAGCAGGTAATTGATGTTGATTTTCTGATTTTATGCATAAATGCATTAGTACCGTTTTCTTCTTGTTGCGACAATTTTAACAGGATAAGAATACTTAATATTGAAATCACCTGATTCAAAAATTCCTAAATTGAATTACCTGTTAAAAAATAGGAAATTTTGTCAGAAACCACCCGTTAAAAACACTTTTTTTTTGTCAAAAACCACCCGAAAAATTTTTTGTTGTCTATGACCACCCATTTTCAAAAAATAGTTGTTAAACGCCACTGAGTTTATTTTCCGGCATTGACCCAGAACTCCGACGTTGACTCCAACCAAGAAAATAAAAAAAAGCCCCGCACCACCGCTTCCAGCCCCCACCGCCACTACGCTTAACCAATTCATTTGCCTTAACCCACCAATCGCACCACCTTAAACCACCCACCAGACTCATCTAACCCTAACTCACCACCTTAAGCCACCCCTACCGAACCCACCCACCACCTTTACCCACCTAACCCTAACCAACCCACCACCTTAACCCACCTAACTCGAACCCACCCACCAAAACCACCATCTTAACCCACCTAACCCGAACCCACCTACCAGAACCAGTGAACCACTACCTTAACCAACCTAACCCTAACCCAATCTGAACCGACCCACCCTAACCTAGTTCTATCACCTAAACCCACACAAACATAACCCAGAACTACCACCCTAACCCTACCTATTCCGACCAACTACCCACCAAAAACCACCCACCACAACCGCCCAAAACCACAACCACAACCCAAAACTTAACAGAATTTTTAAGAAAAAAAATTAAAAACAAGAAAACATACCTATAATTGAATTTGGCTTTGAATGTCACCTCGAATTTGGTTTAATATGGTCAAATTCGACCATGAAAACTCTAGATCTAGAGTAATCATGGTCGAATTTGACCTGAATAACCATCAATTTCGTGTCGACCACCGTACCTCCACGCGACGCCGGCGAGAAAGAAGATCAAATTGGCGTTGTGACCCAACCCCTTTGCCAGCGACAAAGAAAAGAGAAAAGAGAAAGGGAGGGAGAAGAGGAAAGAGAAGAGAAAAAGAGAAGGAGAAGAGGAAAGAGAAGAGAGAAAGAAGAAGGAGAAGAGGAAAGAAAAGAGAGAAAGAAGAAGGAGAAGAGCAGCAGATAATGAAGAAGAGGAAAGAGAAATGGAAGGAGAAGAGAAATGGAAGGAGACCAGCAGATACAAAGGAGAAGAGGAGAGAAGAAAGACAGGGGAAATAGAAGGGGGGAACTGTGGAAGGGTCAACGCCGGAATTCCGAGTCAATCAGACTCTAGTGGCATTTGGCAACTAATTTTTAAAATTGGGTGGTTCCAGACAACAAAATTTTTTTCGGGTGGTTTTTGACAAAAAAGTGTTTTTAACGGGTGGTTTCTGACAAAATTTCCTAAAAAATACCTATAATGATAGAATACTTGACTTCGGAACTGTCCCTTTTGACAGGATTACATAGATAGTATGGAGGGCGCAACTCTGTCAGGCAGGCAGGCAGCTGCTTACATATGTGACGCTGGAGAAGATCTGTTTGCATTAAGGGAGAAACTCCCTGCCATAGAATCTCTAGAACCTACTATAACTTCCCCCTCTCAGTTAAGTCTCGTATGATTATGCACATAGTTCTTAGTTCCCTAATTTTTTACCACCTTAATGCATTGTAATATTCTGACAGTAGTCCCTCACTTATATTGTATATGTATTGATACAACGCACATGTATGCTCAAAATGTGTAATATAATCTGCATATTGCTTCATTTAAATCTACTAGTACTTTTTAAATTTCAAGTCATCAGTGTAGATTGTGCAGAGCATTGATAACCCCATCCCAGGGATCATCAGATACTACTACGTTTCACAAGCACAACATTAACACAAAAAAGATCGAGAATGTAACATATAACAATAATATAACAAGCAGCTATTTTTATTCAACAAAGTATATGATGATACAGAATCAGAACCACAACATCAGCAACACCACGGCACATGAAAATGCAATGTTACAAACTCACAATGTGTAATACTTTGTAGCACATTATTTGCTTTCCGATTTCAACATCAGGAATCCTCCTTAGCAATAGCAGCCTTAGCAGACTCAAGATCTTCATCCAAAACAATGTCCCAAGGACCATCCCACTTAAGAAAAAACTCGGTATCTTCCAAATACTTAACTCTATGAACATCCCCAGCAGGTGTATACAGATAATCTCCATCACTCAGATCATACTTCTCCTTCTTACTCAAATTCCACACAATCTTCTTCCCTATCATCACAAACAAATCGTGCCCGAAGCTATGATGATGAGCAGGCTCCACACTCCCCGCCTTAAACCGAATAATCGCGGCAGTCGGACTTTCCCTCACTATCTTCATCATCCCACCAGGCATAATCTCCACTGGCACAAACTCCCTGTTCTTCGCCAGGCAGCAAATGGCACACTCCCCTTCTGATTCGGGTTCCTATTTTCCAATCTTGGCCATCTCCGGGACAGACTTGTTGAGGAAGTCCTCCACTTCAGGGTCCCATTCCTTGTTGCCGGAAGCAGGGCAGGGGGACTTAAAAGGGGTGTTAATGAAGGTGTCAACGATTTCGATGGCGGTATCGGGTGGAGTTGACATGCCGGATACAGCGAGGACATTGGCGTTGTTGATGGAGCGGGTGTTCTTGGCTTCGTCGGCGGTGAGACAAGCGGCGGCGTAAACTCCGGGGATTTTGTTGGCGAAGATCTGGGCACCAACGCCGGTGCCACAAGCGACGAGGCCGCGGGTGGTGTCACCTCCGGCGGCGACTTTCCGGCCGATTTGCTCGCCGATGGAGTAGTATGGGCCGACGCCTAGGTCTTCGACTTGGTAGTTGAGGGAGCGGAGGTGGGAGACGAGGGCGTCTTTGAGGGTGCAGCCGTCGGGGTCGGCGCCGGTGACGAATTTGAGAGGTTGGGTGGTGGTGGGTTGATCGGCCATGGTTGGAGGCTACTGATTGATGAAGTCAATGGAGTGAGAGTGTGAGATTATGAGTGAAAGAATGGAAATTTGTGGGAGAGTGTGGGTTGGAGTTTGGATTTAGAAATGACGTGTTTTTCCGTTTGCTTTCTAGATTTGAATCAAGTTTTTTTTTTTTTTTTTTTTTTTTTTGGTCGAAACAGATTTGATTTGATTAAATTACTACGTACTTTTTAACGTTTTTAATGTTAAGTTAAACATAGTTAGGTGAGCTTTTGTAGTTGCAATTAATAAATGAAGGAAGTATTATATATGTATGAATATGTATGGTTACCCACAACTTTTTTACGGGTCGAAAAGGATTGAGTTTGATTAAATTAGTTTTCAACACCTCTAATGGTTTTTTTACGGGTCGAAAAGGATTGAGTTTGATTAAATTAGTTTTCAACACCTCTAATGTTAAGTTAAACATAGTTACGTTAGTGTTAAAATGAAGGAATTATTATATATGTATGAGTATGTATGATTAATACTTCCCCTATTATGGATTAGAGAAATTAATGGTTTATTAAAATTTAAAAGTGTAGCACTTAAAAGATTAGAGGAGTATGATTGTATGAGTACAGTTGAAGGAGTTTGTTTAGGAAAGGTATAAAGAGCTCCATACATGATCATCTTAAATAAGCTCTACATAAAATTTTCATGTCATAATCACAATTTAAGATGATCAAGTATATTTGTACATAGATACAGAATACGGAGTACTCCGTACAATTTTAGGATGTTGAGCTATATCTTTGTGTGATTTGTTACTTTTCTTACCAGTATTTTAGATGTAAATTAAATTTGAATAGCCTTCTTGAAGTTAGTGAAAACAAAACAAAACAAAACATAATTGTCCTTATATTCATTCTATCATAGCATTCGTCATAATTTCTTTTGTTTAAAGGCTTTGAATAGATTTTTTTCAAATTCATCTCATACTGTATGTTCTTATAGATAGAATTATTCTAAATAAATTTATAAGGAAAAATTGCTCCCATTAATCTGAACTTTGTCTCGTCCGCCCAAATTAATCCCAACTTTCGTTTAGTATCTATCACTCCCAACTTTAGGGGTATTAATTTTTATTGCACCCAAATGACTTGGAACCGATTGAAGAGGTCAATTTTGCTGACTTGTCATTAGTTGCACACGTGTCGCAACCTGATTGGTTCAAAAGTAAAAAAAAAAACAAAAAAAAAAAAACAAAACAAAAAAAATGAAAAAATAACTATACTAAACCACCCAATACCCAACGGCAGCCCGCAGCCAGCCACCCCCTTCCCCCGGAGCACCGGCCACCCAAAGCAACAGCCCCATGACCCCACCATCTCTCTTCTCTCGCGCACCAAAGTAGGGGAAAAGAACGGAACCCCCACGGTGGCAGAGGCCGCGCTCGCGACGAACATGGGCTGCTCTGTTCGAATTGTCGAACACTTGTTGAGGGCGGTTGCGGGTCATGGTGAAGCAGTGGGTTGCTAATTGGGGCAGCTGCGCGCGATTTGTGGTGATTTTGGTGTCGATGGTTGGGAGCAGAGGTGGTGCGGTGGTCGTGAGAAGGGTTGATTGCGGTGGTGATTGCTAATAATAGGTGCAACGAGAACAGGGATGGGGAAGATTAGGTGGGTTTTTCAGGGCGGGGGAGTGGTGGGCGCCGTTTTCCAGCAGCGGTGGAGAGTTTCTTGGGGGTGGGGGCGATTTTCCGGCGGGGTGGGGGTGGGGGTGGGGGAGGGGTGTTTACCGGGATAGGGGTGGGGGCTGGGTTTGGTAATTTTTTTTATTTCTTGTTTTTTTTTTTATTTTTCTTTTTATTTTTAATTTTTTTTGAACCTATCACGTGAGGACACGTGTCTGGTGACTTGCTATATCAGGTTAGATGACCGGTTGGGTGCAATAGAAATTAATACCCTAAAGTTGGGAGTGATAGATTATAAACGAAAGTTGGGATTAATTTGGGCGGACGAAGCAAAATTCAGATTAATGGGAACAATTTTTCCAATTTATAATCCCGTATCTTTTTTTTTTTGAAGGACTGTATCATTATTTAATGAAGATTTACATGCTGCCTTTTTTTTGAAAGAAAATAAATACACGGAGCATCGTGCATCCGCCTCCATAGAAAAAATTTCACTATCACGTGTGCCCCTAATATATCCCTAATACTCTAATTTACGACTCAATTGCGGCTGTTTTATGCTAAAGAACCTTTCTTATCAAAGCCTAAAAAAACTCTGTAAAACTAAAACTACAGTGACAGTAAATTCAGAAATCAGAAACCTTTGAAATTCTGTTGATCTCTTTCCTCTCTCTACACTCTTCCCGCCATGACCGTAACTCTAGATAAAAACCAAACCTCAATCAAAAACCTTTCCCTCTCCACCACCATTAAATCTCTCAATGATCTCGAATCCGCCAACGTCGAAAACCCAATTCAATCATCTAAACAACCCACAACCCCAATTCAAGAACCTGCAATACATGATGATCAAAATCAATCTTCTCAAGAAACACCAGTTACGAGTTTTCGCTTCGGTGTTCGGCCAGCAAGTAAACTGAAACAGGCTTTAGAGTCTCTAACCGATGCCAAATTTAATCCAAAGGGTTTGGGATTGATTGAAGTTGTGGAGAATGGTTTGGAGATCACGGTTCGAAACACGAAAACCGGGGTTGCAGGACATCTTTGGTTCAAGTCCTCTGGTTTGATCAACTTTGAATTCAAAAAGGCTATGATCAACAAGATGATTGACTTGAATTGTGTTCTTGATAATCTTGTTGATGCTTCTGCTAATGATATTGTCACCCTTCATTATCTTCATGGCTGTTCTCATCTCAATTTCATGTTTGGTAAGTATTTCTTGTAAATTGAGAAGTCCTGTTTTTTATTTTTTAAAATTTCTGTAAGATTTTAATGCAAGTTTTTTAGTGGGTAATGTATAAAATTAATGTTTTTGTTCACTGATTTAAAGTCTAATTATTACTGTAGGAGAAAAAAGGGTTTTAAATGGTTGTGAAAATAGATTATACATTAAAAATTACATTATTGAATTTCTATAATCTGTGTCAGAAACTGAATGATTATTAACGATCCTATAGTTCTCCTTTTCAAAAAAAAAAAAAAAAAAAAAAAAAAAAAACACGATCCTTTAGTTTTAATGAAGAATATAATTATTTGCTGTTCTTATATGCCTAGTTTAAACCCCAATTACATGTATTTTATTGCAAAAATTCACTTACTCTTCAATTTGAAATTAGGGTATTACTTTTTTTCAAAAAAAATTAGGGTACTACTTTGGGATAATTAATCAAGGTTGATACGGAGTATTAGGGTTCTCAATTTGGGGGTAAAATAACAAATTGGAGTAATTTATGAATCATTTGTGGTTTCCATTTAGAAAATTGCACATGATTTGTATGAAATTTTCCCTAACTAATTTTGCAATTACCCTTCAATTCCAAATTAGGGTTTAATTTGGGGATAAATTAACAAACATTGATTTAGGGTTCTTAAATTGTGTTTTATTTGGGGTAAGTTGGGTGCAACTAGATTAGGTTTGAAATCATTGGATGTGGGCCACAAACAAAATGTTGACAAAATCCATTTTATAGTGCATAAGGCATTTATTTGCAAAATGAATTATGAAAGATATTTCCCTACAAATTTTCCTTAAATTTCGATTGAATTTGTGACAGACTCAAATTTATACAAGATGTTGCGAAAATTATTGTAGGCGGATATTGATAGGCTAGGGGTTATTTAGATTGATAGTTCATTAGCTAAACGGAGTTTGGTTAGTAGCAGATTGTCACTCAAAAACAACTAATCTTTTGTGGTACACATATCCTGTCATTTGTTCATGCTCTTCATTCCCTAAGTCAGTGATCAAATGTTAGTTTTTCTATCAGCAAGTTCAGATATGTATGCTGAACTTTTGATGATTTATTTCAGGAAATGCTTCTCCTAGACACTTTGCTGTGGATTTACTCGAAATGGATGCTAGCTTCGAGAAATTTCCCAACATTACTTTCGCCTGTGATGCTGTCATACTAAGTGAACAATTCAGGGACATTATTCAAGCATTTCAGGATATTGAAAAACCTAGAATAGGTATGAGCTAGCTTCAATCTCAATTTCTTTCCTTTGTTATCAATCACTACTTCAGTAGTTAAGTACAGGCCTGAACTCTTAACTTGTTTGTTTGTTTCTTTCTTAACACATGTACCAGGTTCACTGGAAATATCGGACAAGGTTTTTACCGTCTCAGTAGGAAAAAGAGATTGGCGGCTGATGTATGAAAAGGTACACTCAAACAGCTAAAATTTGGATTCCGATTATGTCTGCAGAAGCCAAGGAAATAATTTCAGTACTGTACTTTTGATTGCAGGTTAATGGTATTAGGGGAATGGCACCAAACATGGTGCATCAGGCTTGGTTACGATTGCATCATCGTGAGTCTTTAAAGAAGGCATCGTTCATAGCAGCAGGGCTTCTTCTGTGCCTTGTTACTGACCCATTCGAGCAGATCATGCTGCGATTCAACCTCCGAGAGCTAGGAGATTTGGTATTCATCAGCAGAGCTGAATATATCATTTTTGACGTCAATGGTTCACCTGGACTTCACCTTTTAGCTTCTGCTGCCTCACTAATGTAATAGATGGAGTTGAGAAGCTGAAAATGCTTGGCATACGTACATACATATAATCCTAAACAGAACATAGCTTCTTGTTACAGAATGTTACAGAAGAATGTACTCAATGTAGCATATTCATAGTAGCATATTGTACATTTGTACGTACCCTACAAATACAACTTTTAGTCGTTTTATGTCATTGTTTTTATGGTGTTCTGCATAAAAAAATGAAGTTTAAGTGATCAATAGTTCAATACTTGGCACCCATCTCATTTATCATTAGACACTGTATTGTACATAACAGTGATAACACAAGTGCCATCATGAATACCTTATTGTTGGTCACTTTTTCAGAAAGATGTGTTTGTTCATTCTAGCGAGTCAGTTATAATTTTGTACATTTAGATTAAAATTGATGAGAGTGAGGGATAACTCAAGTTATTAAAGCTTCCCTCTCGGTTCTAGGAGATTCAGGATCGATTCTCACCTCTTGCCCTTGTGAAAAATGAGAGTGTTAGGATTCTTACAGGTGTCGAGGACTCGAGGTAGAGAATGAAGGCTGTTATCTTCAGATAAGTTCATATAGTAAAAATCAGGTGAATAGAACGCACTCGAAGAAAGGAAAGATTTAAGTTAGGAAGATGATTTGAGCATGGCCCCTAACGAAATATAATCAAATGAGGATGGCAATTACTATTTGCTAGGTAATGGAGTGGAAAGACCCTTTCACTAACCTCTATGTCCTAATCTTATGGATCTCATTGTGAAAGACCTATTATTGTGTAATTCATCATTTTATATGTTTAATTTATATTACAAACCCTTTTAAAATTATCTCGTGTCGGATAGTCTTTTAAAAAAATTGATGTTCGTTATCATACTAATGCTGTGGCTGACAATTGGCTTTAGTTTGGGCTACACAATTCTCATATTGGGCTTCATTGACTCTAAGATCCAAAGTGGATTAAACATTACTTGAACCTCTAAAGTCAACCAATACAAAATGGGTCTAACACTACTCTAGTCTAGTAATCAAAAGTTGGGAAGTCATTTAAACACAATCTGTAGAAATAAATGGCGGGAATTTGTTGCTATTTACAGTAATTTCATTTCATCCTAATTTTAACCCTTTATTAAAAACAATAAATACGTAGTACAAATTATTGCTTTTTTTTTTTTTTTTTGAGGGGAATACAAATTATTGCTTAATCAAATAAGTTTCTGCTCACTAATTTCCCATTTTTGCAGATATCCAATACCAGAAAATTCAAGTAGAGTTGATAGTAACAACTAATATTAGAAACCTTTAAAATTCTGTTTATCTTTTTCCTCTGTCTTCATTCTTCCCGCCAGGCGCCATGAAATCAGCTGGAGATCTCCAGCATCCAATTCAATCTGTCGAAGATCTCGAAACCGTCAATGTCAAAAACCCAATTCAATCTTCTAATGAACCCAAAATCACAATTCAAGAACCTACAATAGACGATCAAATTCACACTTTCCAAGAAGCGCCAATTTCGAGTTTTCGTTTCGAAGTAAACCCAGCAAGTAAACTGAAGCAGGCATTGGAATCTCTAACCGATGCCAGTTTTAATCCAAATGGGTTGGGGTTGATCGAAGTTAAAGAGAATGGTTTGGAGATCACGGTTCGGAACACGGAAATCGAGGTTGTAGGAAATCTTTGGTTGAAGTCCTCTGGTTTGATCAACTTTGAGCTCAAAAATGGTATGATCAACAAGATGATTAACTTGAAATGTATTCTCGATAATCTTGTTGATGCTTCTGATAATGATACTGTCACCCTTTTTCATTTTCTTGGCTCTTCTCAACTCAATTTCATGTTTGGTAAGTAGTTCTTGATTGTCCTGTTTTTATTATTATTTCTGTAACATTTTAATGTATGTTTTTTTGGTGGGAAATGTGTGAAATTAATGTTATTGTTCATTCATTTAAAGTCTGATTATTATGAGAAAGAAGGGTTTCTTAAATTGATTGTGAAAATATATGAAATTATCAGTGTAAATTTTACATTTCTTGTTATGAAGGTTGTTCTGACACATTTAATTTTCTTATCATTTCACTGTAATGAAGAATACAATTATTTGTGGTTTTAATTTGTCTAGTTTAAACCCTAGTTACACGTAATTTACTGCAAAGCTTTTCAGTTAATTCTTTAATTTGAAGTTAGGGTTTTAATTTGGGGATAATATATCATTTGGTTGTAAATTAACAAATTGGAATGTTGTATGAATCATATATAATTTAGATTTAGAAAATTTCACCTAATTGTATGAAAAATTTCCCAAACTAATCTTGCAATTACTTGTAAAAAATTTAGGGATTAATTAACAATATTAAGTTTAAGTTTCTAAAGTGCTTAAAATGAGTTGTAATTGGGGTAGATTGTCATTTACTTGCAAAATGTGTATAATGAAAGGTTTTTCCCGACAAATTTTCCTAAAGTTCCAATTGAAGTTCATGACTAACTCAAATTTACACAATGTTGCCTGATGTCAAACATTTGATTGAAATATGAAAAAACCAGAATTATACAGTGGAAATTGTTGTAACCGGGTATTGATATTTAGTTCATTAGCTCAATGGAGTATAGGAGATTGTCCCTCGTTAATCAATAATCATTTTCCGTGACATTTGTTCATGTACTGTTTCAGAAATCAAATGTTAACTTTTAAGTACTTGTTATATATAAATATATGGTTTTCTATCAGCAAGTTCGATATCCCACATTTGCAGCCTGATTTCATGACATAAGGAAATTAAGTGTGTCAAACTTTTGATGATTTATATCAGGAAATGCTTCTCCTAGAGAGTTTGCTGTGGAATTACTCGAAATGGATGGTAGCTTCAAAAAATTTCCCAACATAACCTACACCTGTGAGGCTGTCATAGCAAGTGATAACTTCAGGGAGATGATTCAACAATGTGTGTCAACTACTAGAGTAGGTCCGAGCTAGCTTCTCATCTTCTATCTTTTGTCATCACTACTTCAGTATGTACTCAGTAGTTAAGTATATGCCGGATTTCTTAACTTGTTTCTTTCTTTCTTTCTTTCTTTTATTCACATGCATCAGTTTCAATGATTATATCGGACATGAGATTGATAGTCTGTATTGGAGAGTTAAGTTGGGAGTTGTCCGAAGAGGTACACTCAAACAGCTAATAGTGATTCCAATTATATCTACATAAGCCAAGAAATGAATTTCAGAACTTATTTGTTGGGGGGTTTTTGATTGCAGGCTAATGGAATTAGGGGAATGCCACCAAATATGATGCATTGTGCTTGGTTCTAAATGCATCATCATGAGTCTTTAAAGAAGGCAACGTTTGTAGCAACACGGCTTCTTCTTGCCTTGTTATTCACCCACGTGAACATATCATGCTGCAATTCAACCTCGGAGAGCTAGGTGACTTGACATTTATCAGCAAAGCAGGATATATTGCTTTCGACACCACTGTTTCAGACTATCACACTTTAACAGCTAGCCTTGTAGCTTCGTTTCTTCCCTTATTTGAGTTCAGAACCTGAAATTGTTTGGAATATATGTTTATAATTCGAGAATATAATGTTACAGATGAATAATGTAGCACGTTTGCTGCTAGGTCTGTCTTAGCATACTGGTGGCATACATATTGTACGTACAGTAGATACAGTTACATCATTTTATGTCATTTGTACAGATAATGTTCAAGAATTTTCAGAAATTAAATTGATTGAAGTTCATGGGTTGATATTCTGAATCATTATTAGAGAGGCAGAGACTGTATAATATTGTTCGTACTGAAACAGTTTTTAGTCGTTTATGTCATTGATTTTATTTATTGAAGTCTATGAATTGGTATATCGAATCATCTGCATAAACAAAAATCGAAGTTGAAGTGATCAATAATAGTTCAATACCCGCCCCCATCTTAGTGATCATTAGACACTATATGTCTATATTGTACAAAGTACATAACAAAGATGTGTTGCTCACTTTTCCAAAAGATGTGCTGTTCAGTTATACTGTTATAATTATGTAAATCAGTAAATGTATTCTGGAAAGGAAGAGGATGAAGAAAAGAAATAGATAATTCTGGAAAACAAAGTGGAGGTAGCCCAGGTAGGTGGATGGAATTCAGGAAATAATGAGGTGGAAAAACCGGTTATATGTAGAAATTTAAGTTTAGACTAGTTTGGAAAAAAAAAAAAGGACTAGAATAAATGATACACTGCAATCCAAAACTAATAAGAGATGATATTGCTGGTATTTCAAATTATAAATGAGGGTAAATTTCAAACAAAAAAATCAGTTTGTCCTATCTTATTGCCCAAAGCCTAGCAATTATATGACGATTAGTATGTTGCACTAGAGCTAGAATAGGAGCAAATTCAAGTTTATCAGAATGAAAAACGCGAGTTGTTTATTAAGGGGAAAAGTTGTACTTTCATCTGAAAAAGTAAGGGCAATAGTGTCATTAGAGATGAACGTAGTTAGGTGACGACGTTAGGTAATAATTGTCAAATATTTCTCTCTCCTCCTCTAATTTCTCTCTCTTCTTTACTTCATACGAGTTGAGCTACCATCCACCATAAAAGACAATTGGAGGTGGGCAACAACTACTTGAGAACTCATACCATAGGAGTGGTGCAATTTCTAGAGAACTCGAACCTTTCTACTAAGAGTTAACCATACCATTCTTTTCACCCTTTTCAATTAGGGTTTTCATTTATTCGATAATGTGGTGGTGAAAGTGGTCTGGTGTTCACGAGCTACGAATGGTAAAAGTAATTGGAGAGCAGTAAGTAGGTGAAGGAGGAAGAAGATGGAGGAGAAAGAAGAGATGTTGCTTTAGAAGTTAACATCACGTTAACTTTGCTGATACAAAGATTCATAAATGCCAGCTAGCAAGTTAGAGAAAATATATTATAAAAATACAATTTACGAAAACGAGGCAACTTATTTACTTCTTTGCCATTTGATTAACAAAAAACGTTTATCATTTTGAGTAACCGGGACTTCCTCCTAGAATAGATAGACAACACCCAATAAAATGAACATTTAATGACAAAAATTATGAAATCAATCCATCAAAGCCTTAATGGGCTACATGTAAATTAGAAAATGAAAATGATTGTCATACAACTATTCAATTATAAAAATGAGCATGAAAATTCAGTTTTATATATTCAATTTTATTATCACATGTTCATTTTATATGTAATACATATTCATTTTATATCACAAATCAGT